AAGCTCCCAATTTGTTCTGCAGTGGTGTACTCTTTTTGCCTCCCTTTCTGTCACTGGCCAGGTTCTGTCCTGGCCCTAGAAAACTTTTTGTGTAAAAGGTTTTCTGACAGCTAACAAATATAACAGCTGTTCAGTTGGAGAATTCCTGATTTACTGCTTACAAGGTCTATATTAATCAAAAGGAAATTGAATGAGGAAGAAGAGGAGGTTAAAAAGGTTTTTTGATTCTGTTGTGTTTGCTGACAGCTATTGTGTGCAAGTGGAAGCAGGGTAGGTGGTTTAGCAGTTAACCCTGAAGTCTCAGGCTATAAATAGGCATCACCAAATGAAGCAGATCAGCTGTGCCAGGATGTAGCACTTAATTGTGTGAAGCAGACATTGCCTTCTGTCCCACAGGGTTGGGTCCCTGCCACCCCCACAAGTGGCAGGAGCCTGATCTCATGGGACAAAACTTGGGCACACTTCTGCACACAGGGGAACCCCAGGTTTCCTTGCCTGCAGGGCATGCCCAGGGATTCACTTGGTGCCTCGCTGCCCTGGTCTGGGCCTTGCTGTGGGTCCCATGCTGCTGCATTTCTCTGCACTGGGTCCCATGCCCAGGTCCATTTTTCAAATGGGGAAACCCAGGCAAGTACTTCAGGGGCCCAATCCTGTGTACCTTGTCAGTTCTCCTGAAGCCCTGGGAGCACTGGCCTGGAGTGGCAGGAAAGTGCTTTCCTTCCAGAAAGTAAACTGATGTCCAGTGCAAAAAAGCAGTACAAATGTATATCGCCTATGTGGCCGCAGAGTTTGGTCATTTGTGGTGCAACAAAGATCACGGATGTCTGTTTGCTTGGCCTTTGTGCTGCCATAAAAATTGTCTGTTTCCAACCTCAGTGTCTGTATGTTCTGTAAATAAGTTCCTACCTAAAGATAGTGGGCCAGGCATTTGCTGGTGGTTGAGTGCCTCAGTGGCAAGGAAGAGTAAGTGATGGTAGTCCAAAGCTGACAGGTTCAAAAAGACTTACTTAGGTTTCTTGGAATGGGGTGATTACAGCTCTAAAAGTCTTTAGCTTTGGGTGGAAAAGAAGTACATCTAGAGCATCTCCCTCACATCTCCCACCACTGTGGAATCTCTTGGTAGAAACCAAGAGAGGGTAACAATAGGAATACTGCCTGTCTTTGTATGTGGAGAATCTTTCAAGTGCAAGGGATCTTGTAATGCAAGGAAGTAATTGCATGCCCTTTACATGCAGTAGATATTGTGCTGCATTTACAACCCCCCAACAGCTAAACACCTGAGTAGTTTGCCCAGGTAGGGCAGGCAGGATCAAGCCTGACTTTCTCAGCTTCAAGATCTGCATAAAAATAATAAAGTATTTACTGACACATTTCAGCACCAAAAACTAGCTATTGTACAAAGCTGTGTTTAATTTTTTTCTTTACCAGTTTCATTTACACAAAAATAATTAATGTATTCTTTGATCTCTAGGCATCAGAAGAAGTGTCAAAATCACTGCAAGCAATGAAGGAAATTCTCTGCGGTACCAGTGACAAGGAGCCACCTACGGAGATGGTGGCTCAATTAGCACAAGAACTATACAACAGTGGCCTTCTTGTGACTCTTATAGCCAATTTGCAGCTGATAGATTTTGAGGTAGGTCCCCCTTATTCTAATTTTAAGTATACAAAGAAAATCTGCCTTTCTGTTTGATCATGATGTTGTCATTAAGGGTCTGCCTACACCAGGGTGGGCAAAATATGGCCTGCGGGCCGGATCCAGCCTGCCACGCGCTTTCATCCAGCCTGTGGCACCCACCAACTAATTGTACTGGGGTGGGAGCAAGGTGCCCACGTATACACCCCACTCCCCACAACATACCCTATTGGGCCTCACTCCCACCCTCATGGGTGGAAGTGTCTGCCCGGTCTGGCCAACATACGGCTTCCAGGATGGTCTGCTGCTGCCTCTGCTGCAACTGCTGGGGAACCTGCTCAGCTTCCCCAGCATCTCGTTTGCTCTGGGCAGAAGGTGGGGAAGTGGTGGGGATGGGGAGCAAGCTGCAGCTGGGCAGAAGTTTGGAGCTTGGGGCTGGGACTGGTTTCATAGTTTCATAGTGCTAAGGGTCGGAAGGGACCTAAACAGATCATCAGGTCCGACCCCCTGCCCCAGGCAGGAATGGGTGCTGCGGAAATATCACCCCAGCCAAATATTTGTCCAGCCTCCTCTTGAAGACTCTCAAGGTAGGAGAGAGCACCACCTCACTTGGGAGCCCATTCCACAGCCTGGCAGCTCTGACTGTAAAGTAATGTGTCCTGATGTCCAGCCTGAACCTTCTCTCTAACAATTTGTGGCCATTATTCCTAGTAACCCCATGTGGTGCCCGGGGGACCAGAGCCTTCCCCAATTCTCACTGGTTCCCCCTGGTGAGTTTGTAAACGGCCACCAGATAGCCTCTCAGTCTTCTGTGGTGGTGGGGCAGAGTTTACGCCCAGGGAGTTGGCAGCAGCACAGATCTCAGGTGGCACTGCTTGGGTGTAAGGGAGGGTGAGGGGGTGTGGGGACTTCCCCCACATTCCTCCCATGGTACGCAGCCCTGCCTGCAGCAGGGTGCTTGTGCCTGGTGCAGGTGCTCCTGCGGGGTGGCACATGGCTCCAACCAGTGCTACACATTGCAGGGAGGAGAGCAGCCTGGCCAGTCTGCCTCTATCATCGGGGCTCCCCACTGTGCATGCATAGCTTCTGCAGTCGCGAGCCACCAGGGGGAAGCTCCACGTGCTGGAGCTGGATGCGTGCACTGCTCCCTGCCATACTGGTCCTTGGACTCCACCGGAAGTGGAGGGGAGCCCCAGCCCCTACTTACCTGTGGAATCCCTGGACCTGCGTGGCAGGGGGTGGGAAAGGCAGCTGGCTCCAGCGCATGGAGCTTCCCCCCCTGATGTGCAGTACTGGCTGGAGCTGCATGCTGCTGGCACCAGTGCCTGCACTGGGCACAAGTGCCCTGAGTGTCCTTGCCACCTGCTGCTATTGCCACCTGTGGAGCTGTGCACCATGGGAGGGGCGGAGGTTCCCCCGCACCCTCCCTCACACCCCACAAATGGCCCACACCCACAACCTGTCCTCCCAAACCTCCAATATACCTATGCCCCCGAATACATCCCCCGTGTGTGTATACACACACACATCCCACCATACACACCCCACCATATACCCCCTACACCAACGCACACACACACCACTACACAATATACAAGACTAAGAATTTCTTTTTGAGTTATCATGCAATCTCTATATACGGTATGCAAACACACATGACAAAAATATTTTTTCTAGTAAAATATGTTATAGTAGGTGTTTCACTTTCGTGTATGATTTGTTATGTTTCTGGTTCTAAGATGGCATTCCCCCATCCCAAAAGGAGTATTTTGGGAGGGCAAGAGGAGGGACTTCTGATGGCAGAGGGTAGGGGTTAGGGGGCAGGACTTCCAATCCCAAAATGATGGCTGGGAGTGGGGCTACCCATGTAGCCCTTAGAAAGATTACAAACCTCATAAAGCAACCCTTCAAGCAAAATAATTGTCTGCCCCTGGTCTACACTGATATTTAGGGTTCACTCTCCACCTGATGAGCCATATGATCTGCCCCTCCCTATCTGTATCTTACCTGGAAGTCTGCAGCAGAGCATTGTGCTGCAGAAGCTAGAAGTGGGATGCAAAAGGGCCAAAAGATTTGGGTTTTCTGGTGGTGGATTTCAAGCGTTTGGAGTAGAGGTGCACTGATGCATTGGTCCACTATCGGATTGGCACCGATGTAAAGACAATTTTCTGAATCAGAAATTGGCCCGATGCAGCCAGTAATTTGTCTGTTAAATGCCTGAGTGTGTGCGCAGCTGCAGTGCAGCAAGTAGGCAGTGAGGAGCAGAGCTGGCAGCATGGAGCGCTGCATGCAGCTGGTATGTCTGGTGTAGTGGAAGGGGGAGGGGAGGAGCATGGGGGGGCAAATCAAGGCCCCCACGGTGAGGGAGTGTGTAGGGTGGGGTTAGGGCTGGGGCAGGGACTAGGACTGGTGCGGGACAGAGGCATGGCTTCATGGGGTGGGGCACGGGAAGGGAGGGGGAGGCAGCTGCCACCACTGCGTATGGCTTGTCCATTGCTCATCTGGCGGCTCCTGCCACCTTGTCCAGGAGGGCACTGGGGGTTGTGCCCCTGGATATGTGTGGGGTGGGCTGGGGCCAGGCTTTTCACAGCTGAGCAGATTCGGGAGCATACGCTCCTTCCCACCCCCACCCCCACCCCCAATGCCCTCCTGGATGAGTGGCAGGAGCAGCCAGATGAGCTGCACGCAGTGACAGGAGCTGCATCCCCCTCCGACAAGCCGTGCCTCTGTCCTGTGCCCTCCCTGGCCCCAGTCCAAGTCTGCAGCTGCAGCCCACCCTGCGCTGCACAGATCCAGGGGACACACACCTCAAGTGGCTCAGTCTCGTGTCCCTCCCTGCCCCAGCTGGTCAGCACCTGCCCCAGGCCCATTCCCTCCCTCACCATAGGGGTCCTTATCTGGTGCCCCCCCCACCACCACCACCACCACACCCCTTCCCTCCCTTTCTTCCATACCAAACTTACCAGCTGGATGCAGCTTTTCAAGCTGAAGAGCTATGTATCAGAAATTGGACTGATATCAGCCAACATGCCTCCTTAAAAATCGGCTATCACTATTGGCCCCAAAAATCTCTATCAGTGCACCCCTCGGTTGGAGCTATCTGTATGCCAGGTAACTTCTTAACAAAGTGCAGGTCTCAGGCTTGAAGGCTTATTCTCAGACGCTGGAGTTCGTCAGTTTCCATGGTTATCCTGCAGTGCTACCAAGGGTCAAGCTAAGAGTTTTTGGTGTAAACAAATGGTCAGTGAGTTAGGAACTTTAGGTTAACCTTAAGGTTGACAGTAACTTAAAGACAAAGATTGAATTTCCCTAAAATGTAATTGATTTGTGTGGTGGAGATTTGGAAGAGATATGCACGTTCAGTGTCAGAAATGCTGAAAGACAGAGGATTCCTCTTGCTACACAAGTAGTTGCATATTGATCAACAAGCTGGTACATAGGTTCTCTTTAAATTAATGAATTGGAATCATCATTAGTGTTACTCCTTTCACTGTCAAAAAAGGGAACAAAGAAACATTGGAATGCATGGGGCAACAAAATGAAAAAATAATGTAAAATATCTTGTCACTGTATGTTTTGGTGGTACACCCTTATCATGGAAAGATGTTCATCTCTGGTTTCCTGTATCAAAAAGGATCGAGCAGTTTGGATTCAGAGAGACAGGGAACAAAAATGTTTAGCAGAAAAAGCTTCCTAAGGAAAAGAGACTGTACAGGTGGGGATGGCTTGGTTAATAGTGGGACATAGCATGTTTACTTGCACCTCACATGCCTCTAAATGAGATGCATGCCTTGTTATGGGAAGGCAGAATGAAGGAAAATGAAGATTTTTCCAGAATCATACTTAGGCTTAACATGGCTGCATGCTGGCCCTAGACTGTGGGCCAGATTCCATCTGTCAGTATCACTCAACCTCTAGTTGCAACTTCAGAATTACACTTTCAATTCTGTCATAGCTGCTGTTGAATTGGCAGCAGTTTTTAGCTGTTTAGCCAAAGGCTATGGCTAGTTCAGCAGTGGCTGTGACAGGGTTAAAACTAACCATGACTCTGAAGGGTGCATGCTACTCCTCCCTCTTGGCCAGGGAGAGAAGCACTGCAGCCATAACAGGGAGCCATTACACGATGGGCATAACATGCTTCACTTTCACTTTAAGTGCAGAAATCAGCTTCCTTGCTTAAGACATGTACCCCAATTTTGGAGGGCTGATTTTTGGGAAATGAGTGTGTGGTATGCAAGTAAATATAACAGACGTGTACACAATAATTAGTGGTGTAACAGACCAGATGCAGCATAGTAGATGAAATGTCTTGTTCTGGGTTCAGAAGTTTGAGTTTAAGCCTGGGTCCTTGACTCGCTCTGCAGGGAGGCCCCAGTGAGGACTTCCTGGTCATTCTGTAAGGCACATCAAAGGTAGCTGGATGTGTGATGCTAACTATATCACTTCCACGTCTACCTTTGGCTACAGAAACTGGTGTGTCTTAGTCATGCTGTAGACCAATAGGTCACCTAGGTATGGCTGGACCTTTAACAGACCGGGTGAAGTGAATTGCTTCCATCTATCACCCTTTTGAACAATAAACTATGGAAGATTAACATGGGTGAAATAGGGAAATTTACAATACTCAGTTAGGATGTGGAACTTATTGTTACTCTTTATCATTAAGGGTAAGGACTTGGAAGAATTAAAAAAACATTGATGTTCATATGGAGAATGAACCTTAAAAAAATTTCAGTAATTTAGAATTGATAAAAACCCTCTGAAATGATCTCTGACTGATGGAAGTTGGAAAGAAATTTTACCGAAGACAACTTGTTCTAGAATTGCACACAACAGCATTTCTTGCACTACCTGTACAGCCACTATCTAAGACAAGATGCTGGACTTGTTCAGACTCGTTATGGTGATTCCAGTGAAAAAGCTGAGTGCCTCTGGGCAGGGTAAGAACTCGGGAATTCCAGGCTTCCAGTTCTCCATTGTATGAAGCCTGAAAACTAATT